TTTTTTTTTTTTTTTTTAAATCAAGGAAATTCAGTCCCTGTAACATGTTTCAACATGCACTTTCGCTAAAGTGGAAGAGTGATTGTGGCTCTCGAATGTGACGAAGTTCTCCGAGCTGGACGCACATTTTGGGCCTGAAGGATACCTATTTCGCAGCGTCTAGCCTTTACACTTAAGACGTCTTCTTTTTTCCTTATAAAACGCTAGAAGAATGGTTGGGCACCGTCTGGCAAACAAATTTGGCTAAATACAGATGGACGCTCCAAATTTTTTTTAGTAAACTCAAAGGCGAGTTTTTTCTTTACTTCTGTGGCGTCGGTGTAACTCTGCCCCAGCGCCATCAGTAAGATATCACACTAATAGGCGGCTCTGCTTTGCGAGGAAGAGCTCTGCCCTCCCCTAGTCTGAGCGCATGTAATCACTGTCTGTTTACAGAAGGCGATTGCGTGTAAAAACACCCTTCCACCAGACTGGGAGATCAGCCGATTTGCTTCAAAGACGAAGGCACATAGCACGCTCAAAGATCATTTAATGCCCTCCCTTATTTTCACCGTTCCCAAATGAAATATAAGCCTTGAAAGGGAGACACTTTGAGCTCTTCTCCCATGGAGTAGTAAGAAAATCTTGGAAACAAATAATCTATTCTGATGTTTATAAAACTTAGAAGCGGGTGACATGCCGATAAAAATGCTCTCCAAGCCATTGGCGCGAGGACATTGATATCCTTCACCACAGCGCCGTGTATTTTTACCTCCTTTCCATCGAATTGCCTATTGTCATCTTATCGATCGGTAGCGTCAAGGGAAGAGGGGAGAGAGTTCGAGGCAATTCAAAAGTTACTGGTCAGTTTAAATATGCGCGTTGTTTTTAATCATCAATTTAAACTAGCATTATTAAAAAAGCGCCGCAAATTAACTGCGCAGTTTAACTCAATGGATCACGCACTGATATGTCCGATCACGCAAGTATTGTTACGGTTTTGTTTTTAATTGTTCCAACTGCAGCAGAGACATCAACAGCGTCGCGAAAGTATTTGTTGCTAGAATTTGTTTCAGTAGACCGCTGTGCCTCTCGAATTAAAAGAGAGGATGAATCAGGGGTCGGAGTTCGTCACCTCAATATCTAAATTAGTCTGGAAGGAATATAGAGTGATCTCTCTCCCATCAATTCACTCACACTAAACGAAATCTTTCCACGTAGGGATTTATCAACGGCATCACGAGACATCCATTTTGTAGCTGGCCTATAAGAACAGGAATAACGAATGAAGTAACTCTGACGCGCACTGTTTTAAGGTTTGATACTTCCAGCCGTATTCCTCCATAAACTGTTAACGTCTTGAACGTACTTGTCAGTCGAACAAACGTCTGAATGTACAAGTCACTTCTCACATCATAGTCAAGGGCCGGCAGCTAGTCGCGGATAGAAGTATTCTTAAGGGATCAGAGTAGGTGGAGGATATCCTGACGATCACTGAGACACTGTCAGCGATTTGTCCACTGGTAATTTGAGTGCAGACTATTCAATTCCCTATCTTTTTTGAAGCTCATTGACGTGCCAGATGAGCTACGTGTACTATCTGGCTCAATTAGCTAACTTATCGAACCAACACATACCGCAAACTTATGCCACTGCTCGTTGGAGGTATCCTAAGTGCAAAGTTTCTGCGGCCTTGCATCTGCATCCACCATTTTATCAAGAGCCTGCTATAACTTCGGAAATCGGTTCGGTTCTCTCTAAAAGCTTTTCATGAAAAATATGCAAAAATCCCACTGTCGTTTGCTGGACGATGCGCATATGATGATGTCCAAAGGAAAATAGATACGTCCCTTCTCAAAGGGACAAAAGACTAGCTCAGCCCATCTTGTGTTGTCATACATTCTGCTCATTCTCCTAGTCATTTCTCGTGAACAGTGTTTGTAAATCAAAAGTAGTAAGGCAACTAGTCGAGGATAAGTGTTTTTTCTCGAATTCTCAACAATTCGCTACCAAGAATGTGGTAGTTAAAAGGAAAATTTATTGTTGTTACCATTTTACTACTTCAAAGCCGTACTCCTATTGGCTTCAGGTCGTCCAATCACAGAGTTCCAACTCTTAAAATATATTTTAATCGGAAACATTTCATCTTCTACAATTTTTTTAATGAAGAGGATGGTCTTTATGCTTCTGTGGATTTGTATTTTTGGAAAGTTCAGATTACCTTAACTTGGATTTGACCTGTGACTGCATTCCCACTAACTGTTTGACTCCCTTTTGAATGGAGCATTTGGCATCCCTTTTAGTTAAATGAATCGTCAATTCTATTTGCCGTCCTCACATTTACTTAATTGCGAATGGCATCTAGTTGTACCATTTCTCAGGTCAGCAATAAAAAAAGAATCTGTTTCCTGAGAAAACCTACCCCAAGATGTCAAATTGTATAAATCCTAGAAATCACGGCTATAAGAATATCGGAATCATGGAAGGACGAGCCAGGGAAGAGGGCAATTGAAAGTGTAGATTTGGCACTTGCTAGCAAAAGACCTCACATCTGTTACCTCTGCTCCAGCTAAACCACTTGATATGAGTGGGTGAAGTCATAATGTCATCGAGTTAGCAAGTGACGAAAATGCCTGTAATCCAAATTGAACTCGAAAATGTGGTTATATTTTGGGTGGCTAATGTTTGACACGACTAGCCGGTCCTATTTTAATATAGTCGTGAAAGTCAAGTTCACCCGAAGAAAGCGTCTATGACCGACAGATTCTAAATCCAACCGAGCATACGACTTTTAGTGACCACAGCAACCAAAAAATTGACATGGGTTTTCATAGAACATGATAAAATGCTCGTACAAAACCGCGTACAACGACATTGAATCACGAAGTTTTTTCCTTTCAGCATGTTCCTTCCTTCTGTCAGTGAGGAGTAGCAACCTTTGTGACGGGAGTCTTGTGCACTGTAAAGCTTGGAAATCTGGCCTCAATGAGGTTGCGGCACTTGACCATGCCATAGGTGGTGACAGAGCGAATGAGCACTTTGCGTTTGGGAATACCAAAAGGATCCAATCTGGTGTCGTCGGTAAGTTCAATGCTGCATCCACTGCTGCGCGCTATGCTCCTCAGTCGACGATCATTCTTGTCAGTGACAACACTTAATGCCGTCTCTGGCACCCAAAAATGGCACTCAAACCTGCCGCGTTTGGTCTCTTCAATTCCTAGACCATTTGATGACAGAGGTGCAGTAGTTAAGACCATCCTGTGAGGTTTCTTTGCTCCATTTGAAGATTTTTTTTCAGATGATGGTGTCGAAGTCTTTTGTGGGCGTCTATTTTTATGGCTCCGAGAGTCAACGACTAAATCGGAGTCAACAATTGATTCCGCATTATTAAAATCTGTCTCTGAATGTAGAGTGGGAATTGTTGAGGGTGTAGAACTACTTGGAAAGCTCAATTCAACACTCGAAGTCTTAGAGCAGATTGAGGTTGGACTAATTTTCATCTCTGGGGTCTGTAGAGGAGCGGTTGTAATGGTCTTCATTTTCTCAATATCACCCATCGGTGAAGACTGATATGTGACCCCAAGCCCCTTGTTACGCGAATTGAGGTCTTTGCGCTTTTGACGTTGCAGATTCCATCCATGTTGATTGGAGGGCAATTTAGAGATTTTCAAGCCCATGGCAGAGCACTAATGGACTGCTGCTGCAGGTCGCAATTATGCCTATGAACTAATGACCTTTGAGCGATTTCAAAACCGGCGGAAGTGATCAATACATGTCTTTCGTTTTTTCCGCCCCACAACAAGAACAGCTGATAGCCAGTCAATAATTTGACAATTCGAAAAACTGTGTCATGATATGCAGACTTAATTTCCATGTTTAGGTAAATAGTTTTTAAACTTTGCTGCAATAGAAGAGAAATGAACAATTTAGACCACCCATGCTTCCGTAGGACCGTTTCTGCACAAAAACCTAAAAGTTAGGGAGGTCGGAGAAATGTGATATAACTAAAGCCCCTTGAACCTTGGACAAAGTAAAATACGTAGCAGGCTCATAATTCGCAGACCAGTTGGCAACTCCGGATCGCAGATAATTAACTCTTTCAGTCGAAATTCTACAGCATGGAAGTTTACAAAAGAAACGCAGATGGGACTATTGATAAAGTTGAGAGTATTTAAGCGCCAGTAATTTGTCATTTGTCATTTTCAAGCAAGTGGTTGCGTTGAGCTCCACTGAAAACAGCACATATATTGTTTTGGAAAATAGTCCATGATGTCATCGGCTTCGCGAAACACATCTTCTCTGGCGACATGGGAAACGGTGGCATCCGGGTGCGAAAACATGAATCCGATACAAAGGATGAGAATGCGTCCACTATCTCCATTCCTCCTTCATTGCATCCTAACCACATCATAGATCGACAGTGGACATTTCTCATTAATAAGTTCTGGGGCGACGTGATAAGCAGGCCCTCACATGACTATCATTATCCACTCGTATCACATCGGGTTGGAAAGTCCTGATGGTATCCATTGCTTGACCATTTTTGTGATGAAAGATTAGTTAAGCATTCATGCCTACCGATAGCCAATGAGCTTTTAGCACTTCTAATTTCATGTTTTATGACGACTTTATTCTTGCAGATTCTAAGTTTCCCTATTTTTATCAAACTCCTTTCCTGCATCGAGAAAATAGCTGTACTCTGAGCTCTCGACAACCGTGGGCATAAGCCTTTCTTGTTGTATCAGCTAGTGAATAGATGAAATTGATGCGTGTCTGGAAGGTTCAGAAATGCTACAATGATTTGGGCCTCTTTCACTTATCAGGTAAATTTCTGCTAGTTGGTTAGGGTCCTTTGATACGCGACATGAGGGTTTGGCACATGGCAAGATTGAGACAGACGTCTCATTGAGAGATCAATGACTATTTTCTTCTTCAGCTACCACTCAACAGAAACCCACAGATAGTTGGGTATGTTTGCTTGATTGTTTGGAGAAAGTTTAATGCCTAATCTTTGCTGACTTTTGAACCAACTACGCCATTAACCAGCTGCTAATCAGTTCGAAGACCGAAGCGGACTAGAAACCAATGCTATTTTTTATTACACCTTCAATGACCAAATGACGATGCCAAGTGCACTCGCTCTATCATGTAACTAGGCCCTAGTTTGTGTCGACAATGGCGGACTAGCAGACCTGCATCGGTGCAAGAGTAAGCTTCTTTCGAACTCCACATTTACTCATTGTTTCAGGAGTTTTCTCCACGCATCTATAAGATAACACGAGTGTCAATAAACAGCACTTTCTCAAGGAGTGAATCCGCCTCCTAATATTGGGCCATTCTGGCCTGACTTTTGGTGGCTTTGAGATTTTAAATTTACTTCCCCGCTTTGTAAAGTTGCAGCTGAGTCTATGCTATTTTACACATCAGACGTAGTTGTCACTCACCTGTACATCTTTCTCTACGTGTTCACCTGTCATTTGTTTGGATTTCTCACCTGACTTTCAAACGTTTGTAACTATAGCCCTTAGGAACTATGATGCTTTCCATGCCAAACAGTTCGTTTCTTTCTTTTCTTTGTTTCTTCTAAATGAATGAAACATCTGTCGGCTGTTTTAATGTAGGTGGGGTAAGAGGTTGGCAGTGTC